AAATGAAATAAACATTTGAATGCATCAGTCTGTGTGCAGTGAATAAATATAATGTACAAGTTACACCTTTTGAATGCAATTACTGAAATAAATCAAGTTTTTCAAAATATTCTAATTTACTGGCTTTTACCTGTAGAGTCCAAAAGGTGTTTGAGGCTATTTTAAAAAAACAAATCTCACTTTATTAAATCAAGCTTTTCTTATTTCTTTAAAAATAAATAAGTGTATACATTTAAATACATTTACCCTTCTGAGCTAACTTCCCACTGTCATAACAGCTGCAAACTTTTTAGATGTCTCGACCAGCTAAGGTTCAACTCTTTTGCAGCCTCTAACAGGTTTTCTGGCGGGAGTCGGATTGACCCCGACTTTAGCTTCATCCATCTTTCCTCAGATGAGCATTGCTTCCTGAGCCTGCCCTTGCAGAGCACAGCATACACTTCCCAACCATGAGATCTCATCATTACACAGGGTACCCCTATTAATCTTAATTACTTTTATTTCTAAATATTTGGGTGTTTGCAGCAGCTATTTCAGTTTAATATATCTAATAACTGATGGACACGGTAATGTTTCAGTATTGAATAGAGGTTTATTGGACTAACAGAAAATGTGCAGTATGCATTAAAACTAAATTCGACAGGTGCAAAAATATGGGCACCTCAGCAAAAAAGACATTAATATTTAGTATATCCTCCTTTTGCAAAAACAACAGCCTCCAGTGGCTTCCTGACGCTTTGAATGAGTTCCTGGATCATGGATGAAGGGATTTTTGACCATTCTTCTTTGCTAAACAATTCCAGTTCAGTTAAGTTTGATGGTTGCCGAGCATGGACAGCCTGTTTCACATCATCCCACAGATGTTCAATGATATTCAGGTCTGGGGATTAAGATAGCCATTCCAGAACATTGGAATTGTTCCTCTGCATGAATACCTGAGTAGATTTGGAGCAGTGCTTTGGATCATTGTCTTACTGAAATATCCATTCTTAGGATAACTTCAACTTCCTAACTGATTCTTTTACATTATTCTCAAGAATCTGCTGATATTGAGTGGAATCCATGCAACCATCAACTTTAACAAGATTCCCAGTGCCAGCATTGGCAACGCAGCCCCAAAGCATGATGGAACCTCCACCTAATTTTACAGTGGGTAGCAAGTGTTTTTCTTGGAACGCTGTGCTTTTTTTGCCGCCATGAAAAACACCTTTTTTGTGACCAAACCACTCAGTCTTTGTTTCATCAGTCCACAGGACTTATTCCAAAGTGAAGCTGGCTTGTCCAAGTGTGCTTTGGCATACCTCAGCGATTCCGTTTGTGGCGTGCTTGCAGAAAAGGCTTCTGTCGCATCACTCTCGCATAGAGCTTCTCCTGGTGCAAAGCGCGCTGAGTTGTTGAGCGATGCACAGGGACACCATCTGCAGTGAGATGATGCTGCAGGTCTTTGCAGGTGGTCTATGGGTTCTACTTGACCATTCTCACCTTTCTTCTTCTCTGCCTCTCTGATATGTTTCTTGGCCTGCAACGTCTGGGCTTAACTAGAACTGTCCCTGTGGTCTTCCATTTCCTTACCATGTTCCTCTAAATGGAAACTGACAGTTTAATATCCTTCCCCTGAACGACTATGTTGAACAATCTTTGTTTTCAGATCATTTAAGAGTTGTTTTGAGGCGCCCATGATGAATCGTCAGAGGAGATTCAAACAGGAGAACAACTTCCAACTGGCCATTCAAATCTTACTGAAGTTACCAAACCAATTTTGCATTTCAGTAAGTCAGTAAAAAAATGTAGCTAAGAGTATTCATATCAATAAAATGATTAGGGTACCCACATTTTTGCACCTATCAACTTTTGTTTTAATGCATATTGCACATTTTCTGTTAGTCCAATAAACTTCAATTCAATAAAGAAATATTGCTGCGTCAATCAGTTATTAGATATATCAAACTTAAATAGATGTTGCAAGCACCTAAATATTTAAAAATAAAAATAATTAAGATTAATAGGGGTGCCCAAACTTTTTTCATATGACTGTACCAGAACAGCTGTAAAGTTTCAAATAAAAGCATTATATAATAGAATAACAACTTGCATGCTAATAAACATTGATTAAACACGGAGTAAAATCAGAAACTGCAGGAACATCATTCCCACAGCATGATATCGCCACTATTGATTGGTAACCATCAGGTTTAGCTAAAACTTACCCAAAAAGCACTCCAAGAGCCCCTAAAGGTGTAACTATCACAGCAGGGGCCAGGTTATATGCCAGGAAGTTTCCAATTTGGCCAATTATCACTAAGAAGCCATTGAAAGACATGTTAACAATTAGATAAGAACGAGGATATTAAAGGAACATGGTTACTATTAATGTGATACTCACTACACAGTGTACCACTGCACCACACCGCATCTGTGAGGTACGAACATCCTGGAAGATATCGACCAATCAGAGTGTTGTCTTTGAGACTTCATTCACTTTTTTATGCATCTCGTGATAACTATTTAAAGTTCCTTTTCTTCCTACCTTTGCTACGAGACCGCAGTATCCCCTTTTTCTGAAGCACAAATGTCGAGCCATTAATAAAGCTTGAAATCACAGCCACTGCTATCCCTAGCGGAGCTCCAGACAGTCCTAAATCATCGGCCATTACTGTACTTTGAGACGCCAACTGATAACCTGATCGTTTCCCGGGGAACAGCGCCACCCAGTGGCTGGTTTTCCCTCAATCCAGGTCAACTCCGCCTCTTCTATGTCCCGCCTCCAATACCAAAATCGGTGGACGGTTTATTATTTCCTGCTCACCCCGCGCGGGCGGAGCACTATCCGAAATAACACAAACCCCGCCTCGGGAGGAACGGGGAAACATATCAATCGTGTTTCATCTACCAGTAAGGACTGCGTAATTTGTTTCCATGCCTCCTTCCCTGGTCCACAATCCGTCAATCAAATCCATTATGAACGTCTGGTTAATGCAGTAAAGCAGCTGAGGGGGGACAAGAATAACTTGACAATTGTTTCGCAGGTAATATATAAATATATTGTTGTGTTGCTAGATTATCCTGAAGGCGGTGTCCCTCTTTGGTCTGCAGTGATGCGTGGATGACGGAAGCTAGATTAGCCGAGGATAGCTAGCGTTGTGTAAATGTTAGCTGGTTAGCTGGTTAGCCGGTGACTTGGTCCTAAAGAGAAAGCTAGCCAGCGGTTACAGGCTGCGGTGATGCTGTGTCAGAGGACCGGGGTTAGCCGTTGGGAGAGTTTCTGTTGTCACCTATGCTAACACCGCTGTGCCTTTGCTAGCATTCACAGCTTCCCTGAGATTCATGAAGGCTTTAAAAGCTGCACATTTCTGGCCTTTAATCGCTCAGATATTCATGAAGTCATAGAAAACCTAAACAGCTGATGTATATCAGTTTGTATTGATCAGGTAGCAGGTTTTATCGCTTTTAATATTAATATTCACGAGTGCTGAGAGCTTTTTGTTGAACCATATGTCAGATATAGGAAGTCTAGATTAGTTTTTAGCATCTAGGAACATTTAATATGCGTCAGCTACAACTGCATATGTATTCACAGCAAATAATAATCCCTCCCAGTTAGTTATACTGATGTAGTAATATGTCATGGCCTTTTTCAATTCATTTCAATTCAGTTTAGTTTATTTATATAGCACCAATTCACAACACCAGACTCTTTCATGTTAGGGTTTTTCATTTCAGAATAAGCTTTCAATTTCAATAGTTGTTTTCAAAACTCTATAACAAACTATGTAATAGTTAAAGATAGGGGCTACTTTATGTAATGGACCAGTTATCGCCATACTGTTAAAATAGTAAATATCACAACAAACCTACTAGATGCACTGTTTGTTTATTGTATTTTAAGCATTTTAAATTCTATGCACCTTTTAAGCTGTTTGGCCTGTTTTATAGTTTCTTGATGACCACAGTGATGGAGGTTGATGTATTTTTTTTTTTTATTCTTCTTGCTTGTTTTTTGTTTTTTACAGGCTGGATAAAGTGGTGAAAAGAATTGTCAGGTCATTGTTGGTTTATCTCAATATTGTCTTTGCCATGTTCAACATTAACATAGCAATCAGTCGTTTTGTTCTAAAAACAAACAAACAAATAAGCTGCACTTTTAAATAGGTGAGAGCGACCTTGTTACTTTCTGTGATGCCAATTATCCCCAGTTTAACAGAAATGCTTTAACCTTAAAGTGTTTCTTCAGTTTCTCCCCCTTTTTTACCTATATGTCTCCGTTTTCCTCACTCATATCTCCATTTTATTTATAGAAAATCTGAAATCTTACCAAATTTCTGAAAACCTTTGAGATTTTTTTGGTTTCGGTCTAGTTCCCCTTTTGGACCAGTTGACCCTTATGACCCCTGATCAAACTAAAATGTCTCCAGATGGGAGAGGCTGTTAATATATCACATTACGTTTCCTTTAAGTCGACTGGAGTAGATTCATTGTGAATGTAAATTGACGTATGAACCCTCTTATAACAGACGACTTTCTTTCGTATCTGTAAAAATGTGCAGTGATCAGGAAGATGAACAACCCCTGCTGTTTTCTTCCACTGTTTTCCAGTTGTTCACCAATCCACTGCTTAGTGCAGCTGAAGTAAAATCATAAAGGAATCCTTTAAGGTGGAGAGAGTGGCGTTTGCTTTAACGCCGTGTCGTCTGACTTCTCATTTCTGTGTGCTGCTGTCAGCAATCAGTAGGTCAGCTACTTCCTCCTGAATACTTCAGGATAATGTTTTCTAAACAGGTCATAGCTCATTCATTAGTCAAGTGTTCAGAGATGGTATTTAAGGAAATAACAATTATTACAGATGATCAACCTGCACCTTAGAGATGGCATTAACAAACAATTATTTAGCAAATCGGGTAAATCTGTTGATTATTTTTTTGATGAATCAATTAATAATCAGATAGCCAAAGATTCCTTAATGAAGATGTTTTCCAAAATGAAACCAGGTAAAACTAAAGAATTTTTCCACTTGAGGAGTTCTGGATAGAGCATTTTGATGGCCGAATTAAAAAAAAAAAAAATTAAAAGATACAAAATTGTGGTATATTCTTTTAAAATTTTACTATAATTACTGCTCTAAATAGGTCGTTCTGTCAGCTAAAGGCATGTTTTAGAGTCTTTATGCTCCAGTTAAGGATTAATCGATTACTAAATTAGCTGAAAATTATTTAAATAATCGATTAATACGATTAATTGTTTCATCCACATACAAGATTAAACCATGAAACCTAAACTCTGCACCCGCTTCACCTGTTTGTTTTTTTTGTCCCCATCTCCCTCCAACCTCCAATCTGACGTGACTTTCAGCTCAGGTGATCCTGGAAGCTGCTGCTGCAACTTTTTATGAATGTCTCTGTTCAACAAAGCTTTCCACATGTTACAGGTTGGCTGCGTTTGCAGCCGGGAGAGGCGGGAGGGGGGGGAAGATGCCTTCTCCATCTTTCACCCTGGATGCTCAGCTGAGATATCATGACAAATGGCTGAAGATAGACTTACAGGTATGTAACCACGACAAGGCAAAGGTGATAAACGCTGCTCAGATTTCTGAATTCTGTCACAATCAGAAGGGAATTCTCCTCAAGTCCTGTGTTCAAATGACCGTTTAAAGAAAAGTCCATATTTTTCTCAGCCTGTTGCTTTATGTACAAAAAAAAAATCAGTGACATGATGACAGTTTGGTTAAAATTTCCACAGGTAGTTAATTACAATAAGCCACATGTGTGGTCATTGTGCCTGAAGTTGTACTTTTCCATCCCTGGAAAAGCTACAGCAGTAACTCATTACAGGTCCTACCAGTTTTATTGGCATTTTTAGTTAAAGATATGGAAGAAGCATTAGATTAAATTCTGTTCTTCTTTCAGAATTAAATTAATAAAACAGAGGGGAAGTTGACAGATCCAATCCTGATTTTGAGCCCTTTGTTTCAGTGTAAAACTAAATCAGTTTCATCTATACCATTGGTTATGAGATTAATTGTAGTCATTTCCTTTGTAGCCCCATTAATCTCTTAATGTGGTTGAAACTGTTTTCATTAAAGTCGGTCATTCATATTTGTTTGTCTCACTTCAGATTACAAAGCTCATATGTTTGATTACACAGAATAAAATGATTCCCCTCTTATATTTCTTTCATTTCAATGATAGTTTATACAATTAATGAAAACCTGAAATCTAATTAATTTTTAGTTTTTAGAAAATTACAAACTAGTAATAAAAAGTAAGTAGTCTTATGCTACGTTCACACCTAAAGCAGCAAGAGCAACAAAAACGCGTGTGTTGCTTCATTTTTGATGCGTGTACAGATTTAGCTCTGACATGCGGCTGAAGCATTGGAAAGGTGGGTCTGATACGCGTTGGGCGGAGCTGCCCTATCATTTCTTTGCCTGTAACAATGGCAGCTATATTTGCTGTGATCAGTGAGTAAAAAGTAGTTTGAATGTTTTTAAGTGAGAAAGTCCACCTGAAAACTTCATCTGTGCAGTCAGTTTATCCAGACTACCATCCTGCCTTCAAATATTATTTCTGTCAGAGCCGCTCAGACCCCCGTACACCGGCGGTGCTCTGTAACTAGGAATCCCGTTCAACAGCAGCCTGTGGCCTGGTCGCCTCTTTGTGGTTTGCTGCGGTCGCTGGCAGGTGTTTTTAATGTACGTAATCCAAACTGAGGGCACCGGGATAATAAAAGTGAACATGTTTTACCTGCAGACTTCAGCATTTTAATTTAATTTAGGTGTTACTAAACTGTTTCAGAGGAGTGATCATAGTGATCTGTATCATCAGCAGTGCTGTCTGTCTCCCTGCCAGCTTCCAGAACAGCTGCTCTGATTGGTTGATGTGGCAGGTCGAGCAGCAATAGTTCAACTTTTCCAACCTCAGCTGCTGCTGTGTTTGCAGCGTGTTCCTGCTGCCTGTGGTACCTTTTGCTGCGGCTTTATGTGCTTCAACCATTGACTTTGCATGTAAACTAGCTGCTTATGCTGCCTCTGCTGCGTTTGGTGTGAACGTAGCATTAGACAAAAATATCTGGTTTTATCTGTTTTCTTAATTCTTGGTTGTGATTCCTTTTTGCATGAATTACTGCATCACTGTGGTGTGGTGTGGAGGCAGTCTGGCTGTTATTCAGCTGAGGGCTTCTACAGTAGAAGTCCAGGTTGCTTTGACAGCAGCCTTCAGGTCATCTGCATTGTTGGGTTTGGTGTTGCTCATCTCCCTTTTCACAGTATTTACAAAAATACACACACACACACACAAAAAAAAACAGAATCTAGGCTGGAAAAACCAGAAATGGAACTGCTCCTGCAGCCGGGCCAACTGGAGCCTGTGGAAAAGGAGCACTAGTTTCTCTGTGAGGTTCAATGCCAATAAGAACATTAACACCAAGGTCATTAAAAAGCTTTTGTTTCTATGGATCAGAAAAGCCAACAGGGGGACAACAGGTCAGGTGTCCTGGGCCTGTGGTTAGGGAGGGAGGCAGGATTTGGTCATTCAACTATCAAGCTATGGGACAAAATATTTTTCTTCAAAAAAGTATTGTTTGTGAGGAAAGAGGTATGCCTATTATTTAACTTACATACAGCGTTTCTTTTTTTCTTTTTCATCTTAAGTCTAATTTAGTCATTTTTTCTT